CATTTATGTTTTTTAAGTGTACAACAAAAAATTTTAATGTTAAAAATTATATATGGGGGCATAAAAATTTTAGAAATGTTACAGTAGGGCATGGCACAAAAAAGTTTGGGAAACACTGTTCTAAGCTATTCAGGCCCTCAAAACACTTAGCGAATAACTTGCTAAGTGAAACGAATTCATAAACGACATAGCTAACTTATTTAATGTAACACTGCAATTTGAAATTATAAAAAAAAATATTAATGCAAATGGCGGTATTTTTTGAACCTACCACATAAGTGAAACAAAAACTTTGTACCCCTTTTTACGAAAATTGCGCGGACGGAGGAGTATGAAATTTCCCACACTTATAGAGAATATAGAGAAGGAGTGCACAATGCTAATATTTTTTTTAATTATGCATAAAAGATACATTAAATCAATAAAGAAAACATTACACACACTACCATGTATTTGATACACACATGCACATATACTCATTTGCTTATTGTTAAAGTCTGTGGTCAAATTGACAATAGTTAATAATGTTTGTAGTTTAGCTTTGCCGAAATCTGTAATTATAGAAGTCTTTGACAATAGAACCTTAATAATGTTCAAACTTATAATTTCAATTAATTATAGTGTAATTTCGACTACTGAGCGACCACTACTATTAGGAGATTAATATTATAAGACAGTTCTACTGATTAACCAGGGTCTTGTAGCCTCAAATAGCCGGATATGCGATCATCTAGCCTCAGCGCAAAACAATTCCCCCAGCTTCGCACGAAAATTGAAGCAACTAAATGTCATTCATCCTACGCTTTCTCGCCGACAGAACTGTACCGCGATTTGCGAGTGCGTTATTTAAGTCTGACCAGTGTCGTTGAGCTGGTTCAGCCGCAGGTGACCGGTCTGGGTGATACGATCGCTGAGTCCATGTAGGCAGTGGTGGATTGACACTAGGGGCTAGTCGGGGCAAGTGCCTAGGGCGGCAAATTTTTTAGGGCGCCAAAAAAATTTAGAAAGTAAACATTTTTTTTTAGTCTTATCAAGATTGCTCAATATAATTAATTAACAATTTTCTGTTTATTTGATAATTTAACAAATTCAATTAATCCATTATTTGTGAATTATAATCTTGGCACTTTTGGTACCTAAAAATTAATAATCAAAATGATTTAATCAATTTATTTCCTTAGACATTTAAAATATATAATCTATTTTTCCATTGTCTGAAGTTAAAGAAGTTTAATTAGTTTTTTTTTTATGTTATATAATTATGAGTCAGCCTTCGTGCAAAATTTATAATTGTTATTATAGGAAAAAAAAACAATATATATTTATGTTTTTTTAATATAATATGTATAACAATTATGATAAAATTTCTGCAATAAATTAAAATTCCAGTGTTGGGGCGTTTTTTTTTCCGGTGCCCAGGAGCGGCATTAAGTCTAAATCCGGCCCTACATGTAGGGGTTTTTGGACAGCATCGAAACCAGCGCTGACCGTGATGTCGTTTGATTCGCTCCAGACACGCGTGGTACTTTAAGACAATGGACGATTATTTTGGTTTCCCTAAATCGGCGAGGTTTATGTGTTACCTCAAATTCATAATGCCTTAAATACTACTAGATGATGACCGGTTTTTTTATTTAATGATGATAACGCCATCTTGTTGTGTCTTTAAAGCGGTTAGTTGCCCTCAATTAAGAAAAATAGTATTATTATTCGCCAATAGATGTCGGGAAGAGTCGATTATTGAAAACACAAATAAAACAACATTTTCTGAAAATAAATCGTAGCTACATCGATTTATCGCCCCCGAAATCCCCTGTATACTAAATTTTATGAAAATCGATGGAGCCGTTTCCGAGATTCAGATTATATATATATGTTAATATACAAGAATTGCTCGAGGTATAAGATTTATTACTCGAAGGGTTCAAACGTTGATTCATAGATTTGATGAGTTTCCAATATTTTTACGCTGTTGCAAGATCTATTATCACTGTTGGATTGATAAACAACAGTACTATTTATAATTTAGAAGTAAGATAAGGGGTAGGTACCACCACCCCGCCTATTTCTGCCGTAAAGCAGTAATGCGTTTCGGTTTGAAGGGTGGAGCAGCCGTTGTAACTATACTTGAGACCTTAGAACTTATATCTCAAGGTGGGTGGCGCATTTACTTTGTAGATATATATGGGCTCCAGTAACCACATAACACCAGGTGGGCTGTGAGCTCGTCAACCCATCAAGACAATAAAAAAAAAGAGTCACGTAGATATCCCAACGCCTTAATTCATTACCAAATCCCCGCCAGCATAAAACAGTGATCAACAATTAATAAATTATATAATTAATGACATATATCCGCAGCGCTCTGAGATATTATATTAATTCTGTCACTTTCTAAGCTGATTTATGCTGTCAATTATTATGTAACGGACATCTCTCGCCGTCATGTTTCACAGTATTGTTTGAAACGCTAATTGGCCATGTCATAAACAATGTCGGCGGCCGTGAAACAAATGCTACCTACTTCTTCTTCTTCTTTAGTTTTTAGCTCCGGTACGGTTTGTGCATTCGCCAGCGGCAAGTGATAAGGTTTTTATAATTCGCCGTTTTAATTATGAATAATAAAAAACACAGGAAATTTAATCAATTGGAATGAAATTAAATGAGAGATGTTAAGGGATGTAATCTCATTAAAATGGTGATCATTTACTGAGACTTTTTCAGTGGACTTTTTGGAGGATCCCGAGAAGTTACGTCCAGCGGCTTTGTTACATTTTCTCACATTTGTGCACTTTCACAGATATTAAACAGTTAATAAACCAGCGTTATTACACATTTAAACTCGAAGAAACACTAAAGAGACAAAATAAAACAAATCACAGAATAAAACTCGCGTTCCCGCCAAAAAGTCCCTTTTTGCCGGGCTTTCCGTGTTTCCATAGATTATACCTGATCTCTGGCGTCAGAAAGCTTTAACAATTTGCCAATACATACCTCGCGAAAAAAAATCATAAAAATTTAGTTTTTCAATTTGTACGGTATTGGAAACCGCAAAATAAAAATAATACAGACTAGCTGACCCGGCAGACTTCGTAGTGCCTCAATCGATAAATAAAGGACCTTATCTTTTGTATAAAATAAACCTAAAACAAACAAAAGGAATCCGTCCGACTGGGGACGCATCAAAGGGCAAACAAAATTGTTATTTTTATTTAATTCCGAGCATTTTCATATTTATCTACCTTTTAAACCTTCTCTGGACTTCTACAAATAATTCAAGACCAAAATTAGTCAAATCGGTCCAGTCGTTCTCGAGTTTTAGCGAGACTAACGAACAGCAATTCATTTTTATATAATACTAGCTGACCCGGCCAACGTTGTTTTGCCATATTTAAGATTTCTAGAGAATTTCTAGAGTAGAAAAAATGACTTATTGTAAGTGTGTAAGGATGTGGTAAATGAGTGAAAGAGGCATGTAGCGCTGTGAACGATGAGGGAATATAAAAATAACAAAATCTCATTCATGCCTTATTATAACAAAAAAAAAATATGTCCAAAAAATAATAAATGTTAGAGGTGGACAACCCTTATCAGTTAGGGGTATGAAAAAGAGATAGTAGCCGATTCTCAGACCAACTGAACATGCATATAAAATTTCATAAAAATCGGTCAAACCGTTTCAGAGTATGGTAACTAACATTGCGACACGAGAATTTTATATATAAGATATAGATATAGATTACCCAGTAAATATTTTTGAAGCAGTAATAATCACTAAGTTCCACAATTCCTTGCACAATTCGAACTCATTCATGCCTAACCTATTAATTCATTTACTTAACTATATCTATTTCCTTCCTTAATTATGTTTGTAAGGAAATCTGTGCGTCACGAAACGCACGCAAATTTGTTATAGTGATTAGAAATAGTTCGATTTTTCGCTTTTCAAGCTCAGTAACATAACGTCGGATGTAGTTGTTTCTCATACAGTTATTTTTTATTCTCTTGTATTTAGACTAGTACTAGTGGTCCCGCAGTAGTCGAAATTGGACTATAATTAATTGAAATTATAAGTTTCAACATTATTATGGTCCTGTTACAGATTTCGCCAAGACTACACTATAGACAAATACTCTTTAATATTAAAGATAAACAATACTAACCTATTCTCAATTTGACTACAGACTTTAAGCAATAACAAAAGTTTGACAATAAACAAAGAGTATATTATGTGTGTGTCAAATACATGGTAGTGTGTGTAATGTTTTCTTTATTGATTTAATGTATCTTTAATGCATATTTTTAAAAAAATGTTAGCATTGTGCACTTCTTCTATATATTCTCTATATAAGTGTGGAATATTTTCATATTCCTCCGTCCGCGCCAATTTTCGTAAAAAGGGATACAAAGTTTTTGCTTCACGTATTAATATATAGATTATAGATAAAACAATTGAAGATGACTCATTAAAGAAAAAATTGTAAGCATAGATTTTTAAATTAAAAGCAATTTTTTCGTGCGATAATCGATTTGTAATGGACATTATGAAGACTGTATAGCACTGGTTATTTATGACTCAGTGATCAGAATGGCGATATCTACAATACAGCCAGTAATTATTGCTCATAGAATTTTTGGTTTTTACTGAATTACCGGATGTCATGCCTTAATCGGAGAAATCTTTGGTAAATTCTAAAATTATTTACTAAGTTCATAGCCAGTTCACTCGATACGAATAAACCGGGCGTCTCATCCGTCAGCCCATGGACGACTCCGCGCTGTTAACCCCGCACTACGTATGAACTAAATTCTAGAAGTTTCCAATAGCCGCCATTTTTTTATTTTTTTTATTTCTTAGTTGGTTGGATGAGCTCACAGCCCACCTGGTGTTTAGTGGTTACTAGAGCCCATAGACATCTACAACGAGATATAAAGTTCTAAGGTCTCAAGTATAGTTACATTTTGTTTTGCATAAAACTAAAAACATCTATTTGTTTCAGGTATAACAAAAACCAATTGGCGTTTGAGAAATAAATGAAAAATATCGATAGCAAAGAGAAGGGTCTCGCCCAAAATCTCCGGGAATTCATTCGAGAGTTTATTTATTTGTATTTAAAATTCGCTTTGTACGCCATCATTGTTTATATAACATTCTCATATTATATTTATTATTTCGGGTGAATCTTTTGTGGCGGGAAAGCCTTTTTTGTGTTATGTCGTAACTTTGTTACGAAGACATTAGTGAACAGAAGGAGCTCTGAAGAATATTCTGGACTAACCTTACTACTGGTGAGTTTTGAGTGGAATTAAAAAACAAAAAAGTTGTGTGGTGTCGTGGGACACCGGATAGAAACGAAGTTCCTTATTATAAAAATATTAATTTTATGTTCTATTCGAGGTATAAAGAAAATAAAACTGGAGGTTTCGCAACAATCCACGGTCATTCGGTAACGTGCGGACTTATTGTGGTACACTTCATTCACGGTTGTTTGCATAAGAGTTAGTGTATTGCGCAAACGAACGCTCTGAGATCGTGGTCAATGAATGATAAAAAAATATGTTATTTTTTGCGCTTTATTACAAAGCGTTATTATAAGTCGTACACTGTGTGCATTACTAATAAAAATCTTACGTTACGGACGTTTTTTCCGGTTACGGTACCCCTCCGCATCGTCCCATAAGGAACTTCGTTCCAAAAAACTAAAAGAAGTCAAAGTTAGGCAATCCAGGGGCTTAGTAGCAGAGATCGATGTAATTACTTCAGTGCGCCGCGTAAGGCACCGTTGACCTACATAGCAGTAAACGTGTTAATATCATATCATCATCAGCCCACAGTCGTCCACTGGTGAACATAGGCCTCTCCAAATCCACACCAGTGAGCCCGGTCTTTAGCTCTCCTCAGAAGCTTCGATTCAGGAGGAAGAAAGCAGACTGTCTTGGTGACAAGTCTATCAATCCATCATTCCAGTTCCAATTTCGCCAAGCTACTGATAGCTGAGCTAATAATACTGGCTCTACATCACCTTGTCTATTTATTGGATTTTTTTCTTTCATTACATAGCATATTAGGAGGACGAGCTCACAGACCGCCTGGTGTTAAGTGGTTACTGGAGCCCATAGACACCTGCAACGTCTTCAGCTCTTCTCATCCACTTCTTGCTGGCCACCGTTCGGAGATCATCGCACCACCTAGCCAGGCTACGTTACGTTACGTCCCGCGATACGTTTTCCGCTGCACGGTCTCCGCTCGAGAACCGGTCTACTCCAGTGATCGTCAATTCTATGGCATATATGGCCAGCCCACTGGCATATGTGGCCAGCCCACTGGCATATATGGCCAGCCCACTGGCATATGTGGCCAGCCCACTGGCATATATGGTCAGCCCACTGGCGTGTTAAACGAAATTTAAAAAGGGCTCTCGTCAATTTACAACGGCTCTGAAATTGTTGCTGTCCATGGACGGATGACCGTTCGCTAACCTAAGGCGTGTGCTGTTAAACATTCGAAAGCAACATTAACTTATCTAATATAACGTAGTAGTGTTAGAACCAGCAGTACCAATAAGTATTCTCTTACAGCAGCGACGTCCTCAAATCTGATATCAACATGGACATGTTCAGTAAGTCCAGTTATTATAGGGGGTGGACCTCGGAAAATTGACATACCTTCTTACTAGTGGTAGGACTTCTTGTGAGCCCGCGCGGATAGGTACCACCGCCCTGCCTATTTCTGCCGTGAAGCAGTAATGCGTTTCGGTTTGAAGGGTGGGGCAGCCGTTGTAACTATACTTGAGACCTTAGAACTTATATCTTAAGGTGGGTGGCGCATTTACGTCGTAAATGTCTATGGGCTCCAGAAACCACTTAACACCAGGTGGGCTGTGAGCTCGTCCACCAACCTAGCAATAAAAAAATAAAAACTTGTATTTTGGCATCCTAAAACTATTCTCTAAACTCGCATATAATTGGATGGTCGCAAGTTTTAAAATCAGGGGTCAAAGGTCTAAGTTGCTACGTGGTAATATACTGGGTAGGTATGTCGATTTTCCGAGATATTTACTTAATTTGGCCAAAAATGTCTGGACTATGATCATGTCATTGCAAAGTCGTTTGAGCCCATTTAAGATCAGGGTTGATTAGCTAATAAACAGATGCAACGTTTGACTGTTGACTTATGATTTCGTGTGCCGATTGTTGACCGGTCGTAACGTCTTGGCCTAGATACGGCTTACGCAAAGACTCGTAACCGCTTCGCGCTTGTCGATTCGTTACGGGCTGGACAGCGACATTTGAAAAGACGTGTGACTTTTAAAAACGGGTGTTTCTAACAAATTCGTCTAAATCAATAAGGTATCTTTTAATTTTTTTTATTGCTTAGATGGGTGGACGAGCTCACAGCCCACCTGGTGTTAAGTGGTTACTGGAGCCCATAGATATCTACGACGTAAATGCGCCACCCACCTTGAGATATAAGTTCTAAGGTCTCAAGTATAGTTACAACGGCTGCCCCACCCTTCAAACCGAAACGCGTTACTGCTTCACGGCAGAAATAGGCAGGGTACATACCCGTGCGGACTCACAAGAGGTCGTACCACCTACCACCAGTCTTCTCCTGGTTGAACTGGATTTAGTACTTTCATGGTTCAATAGCGTCACTAAAACTGCAACTGCTTTTCGAACTGGATTGAAGTTACTGGAGTGACTGCTCCGTCGCAGAATCAGCTCAGTTTCTCGCCGGTTCTTCTCAGCGGGTCGCGATACCGATCCGGTAGTAGGTGCATACGCGAAGCAGCTGCCCTTGAGTTGTTAGGTAGCCTTTGGAGGTGCTTGGGTAGTTGTTTGCAAATTACGCTTCTCCTGGCTGGACTCAGCTCACCCACATATCCTAGTGAAACTGGAAAGGCCTCCGGGCTACCAGCAATCCTTCCTTCAAAAAAAGGCAGGATAGTGGTACATACTTGAGGACCTACAACTCTTGTTTCAATCACGATATGGTATTCAGAAAACGCCTCGCACATACTCCATAGAAGCCCTTACACGCTATTTCTGACACCCTCCGCCGAAAATAGAGTGAGGTTACTTTAGGCAACGCAGCCAAAAACCTATCTATACCAAACTAGGAACTGTCCACGTTCGGCAAAAATAACAAGTCGATTTGTGGAAATAAAGTTCTATTTTAGTTTTAGTCCAACAATTAATAGCTTTGTAGAAAGTTTTTTTTTTATTGCTTAGATGGGTGGACGATCTCACAGGCCACCTGGTGTTAAGTGGTTACTGGAGCCCATAGACATCTACAACGTAAGTGCGCCACCCACCTTGAGATACAAGTTCTAAAGTCTCAAGTATAGTTACAACGGCTGCCCCACCCTTCAAACCGAAACGCATTACTGCTTCACGGCAGAAATAGGCAGGGAGGACTCACAAGTGTTGCAAATGGCGCCAAAGATAACTTAGTCTATGTTTATGTTTATTATCTATGACCAAAGTTCGTGAGTGATGGCTTTCAGAGATAATGTTCCTAAACGTCAAACGTCATTTTGCGTTTGGTTTCACGCTATATAAATATTGAACCTTACGGCCGACATCGATGTTGTATACTTTGCACCATCAGCCTCCTTTAAATCGGTCCCAACTGGTGGGACAAAAAGACACTCTCAAATATGTTTGCTTGGACAATTACAAAACAAATCGCGACAGCGCTCGATTACGTAAAGCAATTGTCATCGCAATCGAGAAATCGATTTAAAATGATTCGATACGACTTTCGTTTTAGACTTGTGGAAAATTCTTGGTTTTGAGATGATTTTAATGGCGTCAGGACGCGTATTGATGCGGAGGCGGTGTGGCCCAATGCTGCTGACGTTTGTGCCTATAAGTCAGGTATTGAAGAACGATGTCAAAACCAGACGTCGGGTCCATTGTGACGAGCTATACCGCTTTTTACTTAGACCGGTCCACGAAATCCCGGTCTAATTTGTGTTGAGTGACTGCCGGAGCTACCTCAATGTGAGCTTCGTCACTCACTTCGAGACTTGAGGTCTATTTCTCAATTGTTAAGTAAATACGTAAATTATTATTTCTTTTCTTATTTTACTACACGAAGCTATTTTACAATCTGGGAAATCGTGAAGTACATATTTCATCAGAAAAATTAGCACCCGCCTGCGGGCTTAATCTGTTCAAACACCGACACAGTCGACGAATACACCAGGCGTCTTCTACTCTAGACCAGGACTTCGATTACGCTAACATCCTTGTCATTGTGTTGCACATCTTGAATGTAAGTCCATTGCGAGCTTACTCGTTCTTCAAATAGAATCCTTGGGAGATCACAATACGTAATTCCACTAGGAAATTAATGGTCCAACTTGATGGAGAAACTGTCGATATGCAAAGATTCATGTATCTGTCTAGCAAGGTTGCGCACGGTAATTGCTCGGTAGACTGACAGTCCAGATCTTATGGCCCGGCACAAACTCATCGTGAAAATGTCATTAGCTCAATTCAGGCTTTCGTTAAACCTCTTCTAGCTGTGATTACCAATTAAATTTCTATCTTTCGATAAACAAAGCATAATTTAATGGGCAAGTATGTGTAATTTTCAATTTATTTGTCTTAGATGAATCAGATCACAGCCTGTCGTGTGTTAAGTGGTTACAGGAGCTTATAATCATGAATATGCCACCGTCCACCTCCACGCATAAGACCAAGTCATTTCGTCACATTCTCAAACTCTACCCAATAATTGTTCGATCAATTCAACTAATCATAAAAATCGCCACATTTTATTATACCTTTAAACGAGCAATTCTTGTATATATATATAATCTGAAACTCGGAAACGGCTCCAACGATTTTTATAAAATTTAGTATACAGGGGATTTCGGGGCCGATAAATCGATCTAGCTACGATTTATTTTCAGAAAATGTTGTTTTATTCGTGTTTTAAATAATCAACTTTATCGATAATCAACTTCTTCTTCTTCTTCTGATTCTTCCCGACATCTATTGGCGAATAATAATACTATTTTTCATAATTGAGAGCAACTAACTGCTTTAAAGACACAATAACACTAAAGCTATTTCAGCAGATGGCGTTGTTAAGCCACCCGAAGCCAATGAGTGTTTGGTTTAAGGTTAGACCAAGAAAATGAATTGTTTATTTATATTATTTGTGTCTTTTTAATTCACGTGTTGTTCACTTAAAAATGCCTAAACGATCTTGGGATATTTCATCGTTTTATCAATATGTCAATTTTATTTAAATATAGTTTCTAAAAAACACAATT